GGGCAGAACAGCCCCAGCGGCTAGAGGCCCAGTCTGCGATGGCGATTCATTCATATAAAGGGGGCAACACACAATACAGCTAAATATAGCTGTTAAGCATGTGACCCCAAATTTTCTAACCTTTAGATAACACGTCTGAATGAGGCAGGGGGGAGGTGGGGCAGCTGCATGCAATTCTGAGATACTATTAAATCATATTTTGTCAACCCGCCTTTCTGATTATGCAATTTCCCGCCTTATATTTTGGCAAAAGCACAAATAGCAGGGGGGGGTGGAGGGGAAGGTAGTTTGACACTGTGCCATTTCAATGACAAAATACAATCCGCCGCTCAAATAATTCTACAGAGGGATTAACATTTCTGAGGTTGAGCCAGAGATTAGGCGCGCGGATCCTGAATTTCATCATCTTCCCGCGACACAATGGCTCATTCTTCCCCTTTTTTCATCTGCCCTCTGATGAGGGGTCAGGCAGGCTTACCGCTCGGGCCGCCTTCATTTCGTTTTCACATTAACCAGATACCACGTTGACCCCCCCTCCCCACACACCCCCACCCCCCCAATGCACTTGAAGAATGCACTTGGTTCCAGGCCTACAGCTCTTACACTAGCTGGCCGGTCCCAGGGTGTCCCCTAGTGGCACTGACACAGCACTGCACTGCGCTTCAGCTCAAACTACAGGGACAGCTACTGTATCCTGGCAAAAAGTAGGTCTGTACAGCACGGCCTACATCTAGGACACCGCACCCCACCCTACAAAACAGCTCACTGACACAATGCATTCTGTTTCGTTTGTCGATGCCTCTGATTTCGTTTGCACTTGGACTTCACTGCAAAGTAGGAAGTACACTTTATATAAAACGGAGCGGCTTGATCGCGATGCAGCAGATTTGTACTGCTGCTCCTACAAACCATAGAAACACAGCCAGTGGGAATTCAATGATCCAAGTATAAATGAACGTTCCTTACTTGCAGGCCTGCAGCCGTCCCAGAGGCTCGGCAGTTAACTCTGATCACACAGGGCTGATCTCTACTCTTGCACCAGCCTTTCTTTTTGTTGCACGTACAACAGACGGCTAAGTGCGGAATTCACAAGCAAGGGTTACAGCTGCATATGCAGCCTGTGCTCTCTGTGAAAGCCTGAAATTAATTACGAATGCAAGGGCCATCTAAGTAATGAAAGCCATGTATTAGGGCTGGGCGATGTGTGATATTAATACATCGTATGTTATGCACATGCAGTTGGCACACTGCAGGCACGGTGATAGTCAGCTGGACTGAGATCAGTTTTTTTCAGACCTTCATGCTGTCTGGACATAGTGGGGACATAGTGGACACTAACAAAAACTGGTCACTAAAATCCATTTGCATTTCACTGAATGGAAATATAGATTCCACAGAAAAAAGCATGCGGTTATTTTGGCTAACGGCTACACCGCCCACTTATCTGACAGACACTCTTGGCAGAAAAGCTCTGTTTGGCTATAGTTTTTACTAAATATTGAACTTTTTCTACTTTATAAATATCACAATATGTATCACAAAAAAACTACATCGTGATTCTTGACATATTTTTCCAATATCGTGCAGCTCTGCTGTGCATACATCATCATAGAAAGCTGGGGGGGCGGGGGCGGGGGCTATGTGTATGACTTTGTGAGTGTGCCATGAAGCAAACAGACTGGCAATCCATCCTGGGTGTCCCTCGTTTTCTGGGACAGGCTCCAGGTTCACCGCGACCCTGTCCTGGATTAACAGTTATGGAAGACTATTGGATCAAAGCGGACGGTACAGCGAATCAGGAAGAACACCATGACATTTTCCTGACACTGCCTGCCCAGTTAGACAGCCTTCGATGGCCATTGCGAGGCAGCCAGCACTGAGGCCCATCGCGAGGCAGCCAGCACTGAGGCCCATCGCGAGGCAGCCAGCACTGAGGCCCATCGCGAGGCAGCCAGCACTGAGGCCCGTCATCGCACACTGACATACATACACAGTGTGCAGTGTGTGGCTCTGTGGATTAGGACTCCATGCCTGTGACCAGAAGGTCACCAGTTCAAATCCCCTTGCTGGCAGAGTGATATCACCACGGAATCCTTAGCCTCAATTGCTCCAGGGAGGCTGGGCGATTCTGCCATGTTTGTTGCTTTGACCAAAAGTGCTAAATAAACATAAATGACATTCTGCGTGACAAAGGTAAAGTATCAGGGTAAAGTTCATGTCAGAGTCCTGGAAGTGGTTCACATGTCGATGTCCTGTTGTTGGGATGAGGTCACCCCCGTCAGGCTCGCGGCCCACAGGAAGGACACTTACGGTTGTGCCTTCCTGAACACCCTAACCCAAAGTGAGAAGCAGGCTGGGAAAATGTTTCGGAGCCAAGACACTTCTAAAAGAGTGCCACCGTGCAGTGCCAAGCGCAATGTCTTTGAAGTCTGTATAACACCGCCCCCCCACCCCCCAACTACCTCTGAGGTCTAGGCATGGAGTGCCTCCCCACCCCCCAACTACCTCTGAGGTCTGGGCATGGAGTGCCTCTCCACCCCTCTGCCGTGCAGGCCGAGGATGTCAGAATGTGAAGGAGGCAGGGCTCGCCTTTGATCATGTTGTTATTAGTGAGGTATGTACGGGCTAAAGGAATCCCACCCCCCCCCCCATCCCTGTGACCGCTGGGACTGAAGAGCCCTCTCACATCAATCACACCCGGCCGAAACGGAACTCCTTCCTCGTCTCCTCTCTTCAAAAAAGTTAATTCTTCTCATCCATTGACACTTTAATTAAATTAAATTAAGTTTGCAGGCTGAGCATGAACATGAGTTTCTCTCCCCCTCTGCCCTGCCCCCCCCCTCGCCAAAAAAAAAAAAACCTCAGCGACATAAATCGCTGAAAATGAAAATGGCAGCACTCTAGGCACCATTTAACAAACATAATGTTTAAAAGGAAAAAACTTCAAAGATGATAAATCATGCAGTTCTTAATGTGAAAGGGGGTATAATTTGGGAAGAGAGTCACAGATGCCGATATACAACCTGTGGATCCCAGTAGATTAATAATTATTAAGTATCAAAATGCACCGAGGATTAGATTCCTCACAGTACTTCCTCCTCCATCTTCCCTGATACAGGTGAGCATGTGGCTTCCTCAGAGTTGCTCTGCATGAGCAACTTCACATGGGGCTAATGAGGTTGCACCGGCAGATGGGCTTTTAGGTGGGGGGGAGGGGAATGGTGGACCCTCGACCCCAGGGGGGGGTTCCTGCTCCCTGCGGAGCGAGAGCAGGTGGACTGGTGGCCCTGGGCTGGACAAAGACCCGAGCCTTTGTGTGTGTCCAAGCAGATGCCCGATTACTGAGGAAGGAGCGGAAGTCAATGCAGAGAACAGAACGGTTTTTTTTGGGGGGGGTGCTGGGCTAGCCTGCCTGTCAGAGACCACGTGAAGCAATTTGAAAAGGTGTCATTAAACAGCCTCTGCTCCACAGGCGAACACAGTGGGCCTCAAACCTTTGAGAAGTGCAGGAGTGAGTCTAGGAACAATTCGCTCTCCCAAACTACAACACAACCCTATTTATCCACCCTGAAAGAATGAAAGTCAGCTGATAAAAAGCAGATGGCGCAAATGATGACTCGGTAGAAAATTCCAGGCTGGTTACACACCCGGAATTAGAAGCAGCCACCTCTAGGAGTGAAGCCTCGTGATGGATCCACCAACCCTGTGGCCACCAGTACGACCAGCAGACTTAGGATTGGAACCATGAACCGTACTGGAGCAGAAAACCACCAGCTCTCGGGACATTCCAAACAAATCAGCTGCCTCACTGTTCCGGAAAAGCGCTCCAGTCCGCTTCTGTACATCAGCAAAGACCAGAGTGCAGCACTGCTGCACCATTGTGGTCCAGTAGAAATTTAGTTGTAATCCTTGCCATATTATTAAGAGACAGTGGTTCATATTTGCGACTGAAAACTCAAGCACCTGGTGATCGATGGCTGAGTTTCCCCCAGAAAATGACAGTACAGACAAAATCCACTTCCCTTACACCAGGGGTGGCCAATCTTATCCGCAAAGGGCCGGTGTGTATGCAGGTTTTTGGGATAACCTGTAGGTCAGCTGTTCAAACCCAGGTGTGAGGACTCTTCAGCCAATCAGTCCTCTAATTAGTAATCTAATTAGGGAGTTGCAGCGAAAACCCGCATACACACCGGCCCTTTGTGGATAAGATTGGCCACCCCTGCCTTACACCATGGATGAAGAGGGTGGGGGGTCTGAGAGGGAAAGTGACACAGCCCAACTCCACAATGCCCAGCACCAAGGTCGCAAGCTGATTCGGCTCAACTCCTCACCACAGCAGGACCAGCAATCCGGCCTCCGCCAAAACACATCCGGCACTCTTACAGGTGCTGAGCTTGAGTCGGTATCCAAATGCAAACTGCCGCTGTGCCCTTGAGCAAGGTAGTTACCTGTCCAGTGGCTTTTCTGGAACATTCTACTCACTGCAGCACAGAACAAGAGCCAGGAAAAGTTAGTCTCATGTGAGACTCTTTCAGTCTCATGTGAGACTCTTTCAGTCTCATGTGAGACTCTTTCAGTCTTACTACACCAGAAATATGAAATTTCATTATACTTCCATTTCCAATTCACTAACGAGAAAGCAGAGGTGAAGAAAACTAACAGCCAATCAAGTGAGCTAAATAAAGCCAAATAAGCGAGAGCAATGAGCCAAAATTCTGAATCTGTGTGAAATCACTTTTTTTTGCAACCTATACCCATAGATTAAGACAGATATGCTGACTGCAACCAAAGAAACAAGGGTAAAATTGTGAACTACACCAAAATTAGTCAGGAAATGAAGGAGGGGTCCCACAAAATACATTGAAACAGAAAGTGGGAGAAGAGGAGGAGGAATTATGGTGTCATTCTAATAATTGTCCACTAGGAGGCAGCATCAGTTAATTTTTCACATTACACATTAACAGGCCCTGTTCCCATCTGTAAAGGAAACATTTACATACATTTTCAATGACGAATGTCCACTCCTTGTCCTCAAATTCCTCTGCGTGAGGGTCCTGAAACACAGAGCAACGTACATTAACAAACAGGAAAGCACACATAAGGACGCTACCAGTAAAAAGGAACTCAGCCCAAACCTGTTATTGGAAAACTCCTTTAACATATTTGTGTACGGTCACCCCAGGCAACCATAAAAAAAAATCCAAAACAATTCCTATTCCCGGAATAAAATATTTATAGAGTTAAGTGTATAACACAAGGAATAAAGGTATCAATTTTCCCATATTTACAGCTTCTCATTACCTACACGGCAATATGTGTGTGTGTACGCTGCTTAGTGACCGCTCATCGCACAGTGCCCCACAACCTGTGCCTACCCAACTGTACATTCGCAGGTGGGAGACCAAATACGGGATGGGGGGGCTGTGCACCGTACAACGTGACATGTGACAGTCTGGGCTGGAGGGGTCTCTAATGAGGCCGATATTAGTTTCCACAAATCATCTCACCCCCATCATCAAGGGAAAAATGAGCTGCTTGAGGCAGGATGTCTCTCCATGACACTGATACAAACTGGGGGGGTTAAAATCTACTCTGTCTACTCGGTGTAGAGCAAATGGGAAAACGGTAAACTGATGCCAAATCGTTTTGGTGAAAAAGCAAAAATTATTATTTCGGCCTTGAGAACGTGAGGTGTATTGATCAAAAAAGAAAAAGAAAAAACGTTCAGGAAAATGATTGCCTCTCATACCTATCCGCTCCCCCCCCCCCCCCCCTGCTCTGCCTGGGGTCACGTGAACTGCACTTCAGTCTGTCAGCGGCAGTCAAGGGCCATCTTCTCAAAACGAGGTGAGCTACACACTTGGGGCTCACTCAAATGTACTGGGCCAAACAGTATGAAGCTGTATGAGCATGGGTCAGATATTTCCATGGATTTCTGTGCAATTCAGCTTCCCCGGAGAGGAGCTCGGCATTCACTCAAACTGAGGATCTGAAGTCAATAGCGTGCAGACAGACTGATGGGTACGGCAGAGTGAGTATCACATCCACAAGATCATCACAGCGTTCCAGCTTGTAAAATTAAACCCCCCTGACAGGTGCGTCATAAAGACCACTAATACCCATGCACCCCTGTCCATCTTGTCAATCTCTCTCCCCCCACCCCCCCCACCACCCGTGGCTGTCAGGCTTCTCTCAAACTGCCTGAACTCCAGCATACTTCTGGCAAAGAGAATGCTATTGCTGAGCCTGGTGGGGCAGCACCATGCAAATTTCAGCAGCCAGTGGAGTCTCCCAGCCCGCAAAGACGCCACCTGCCAGTGGAAGGTCCTTATCCAACGCTTATCAATTCGCCTCCAGAACAAAAGGGCCACATCCTCTCAAAGGGAAAGACTAATGGTAAACTAAAGATTCTCAAAGGGCTTTCCCTAATGGTAAACTAGAGATATTCTACATCGCAACAGCCACCTATTTTAGTCTATGCTAGTAGATGGAGGTGAAGGGTGTGACGTCATGGATACACACGACATCCCATGGCGGTGGCGGGCAGGCCAACCATACCTTGAAGAGCGTGACTGTGATCTCGACGTTCTCAGGAACAGGCCAGATGACCACACCTCGATACGGGTTCTTTATTCCAGGCTGCCAGCTATGGGACTGCGGGGGGGGAGAGAGAGAAGTTTCCAGTTAGGGGAATTTACGATACAGTCAACTTTGCACCAACGGCTAGGATGCTGTTCAACGGCAGACAAACTGCAGCTCTTATCGAATCCAGGTGAAGCCTCCAGCTACCACACTGTAGTTACTCTACCAGGACACCTGATTCATTCAGGGAACCATGAATCGAGACTTTGACAGACTGAATCATTTGCATGGAGTGGAATGGTTAAGAAGTACACCCCAAAATGGCTGGAGTAAGGTCCACTGTCCCATCCCTTAACCGGAGGACTCGGGCCCAGGGTGAAGAGCAAAGACGGTGATGTTTGTCAGAAAACAAGACCAAGACCAAACAGCTTCTCCAGCTGGCATAGTCCTACTCGCCAAAACCTTCTTGCCTACACAACCCCCAACTCTGATTAAGTGCAGGTCACCCTCGACTGAGATCCTTATATGGGTGCTGCTCTACATTTCCATGTCACACTAATTTATTATTAATATTCTGATAATTCTACGTAATTTCATAGTATCCTTTTTTATTCTCACCATACGGTAAAGGCAGGTTTTTGGTCACTGTCGGGGGAAGATTCTCTGAAGACTTCAATATAACAGCCTCTATCATAAGTAACACCCATTTTATTTCTCTATTGCGACACTACAGTATCACAGCAGCACGACGTTCTGTTAGATTGACCGGCCAACTGTGACTGTCGGACGTCAATTCTGAAGGAATGGCCTTGAAGATATAACTGCTTATTGAAGCCAGCCGCTTTTCTGGATAAAAAATTTACTCATGTACCCAAACACACACAAAAGGCAGGTAAACCTGAACTTAACCCTCCCCCCCCCCCCCCCCCCCAACAAAAACAAACAGCGAGATGCACCCACCTTGGAGGATTTCCGTCGACTCCTGCGGGTCCACACCACCACCAGCTTGTCTGGTTGCCTGACGAAAGAAATGAGAGGTCAGTGGAAGCGTTGAGAGCACTTTCCTTCCTTCTGGGGCAGTCAGCTTTGGGTCAGATCGGGCTGTTAGGCTGCACGCTTGCTTCGCCTGGCCATAAATGGCTCATCAAGGGCGACGCAAACCCACTGTCACAGAGAACTTGAAACCATGACCTGTCAGCAGTTCACGTATCAAATATCCCATTCAACCACTGTCTCCTCCCGGCTCTTGGCACTTACCACGCCCTAGTAACTAGCTCCTCGGTGCCCTTGTGGCCCAAGAGGCCCCTGGGATGGTGGCATGACTTCCTGTACAGATCAGCAGCGATGAACCGTTTGGGAGGGTTGCCAGTGCTACCTCATCACCGATACCATGCATGGCTGTATGACATGGAGATCCCAACCCAGGGACCATTGTAAAGAATTCCCAGATGATTGTCCTCCCTCTGCAGCAGGTTCTCCTACTTCACACTCAAAGTTACCGTGACGACAGACTAAGATTCTCCACCTTTAATGAAGTTAATAGTTTGCCTCTGGGGGCTGATAGCATAACTGGCAGGGAAAGCAAAGGCGACCACCTGCAATCACACACACGATTGTTGACCGTCCGGATGCAAGTGAGTCAACGAACTCTGGCACAAACAAGAACGACAACATGGCTAGAGGAGGAGGCTGGCTATCCAGCCGCCAAAACGTGAGCTGAAACTCAGCCTACTTTCCATGTAACCGGAACGAGATTCTGGAATAGTTCAAGCACATCTCAGTCAACCCCTCCTCAAGGAGGTCACCAAGATTGGCTGTCAAACTCACTATATACCTGCATTTGCTTGCAGCTCCCCCACCCCAATCAAGCTGTTACCGCGCTGCACTCTTAACCCACCACTACCCAATCATCAGTCTGCATGGTACAACTCCTGGCTCTAAGAACATTCTGTCAATGAGGGCTGTGGATTAAACCAGGGCACAGAGCCATGACATCAGCCAGCTGTAAGACGGTCTGCAACTGTACAGCAGGAATGCGTTTCTGGCAGGTAATTTGATTAGGAGCCACACAAACACCTCCAAGGGGCCATTTTGGACACCTGCAGGAATGTGTGACTGGCACTGCCCAGCCGATCTGTGACAGCCCTCCTGGCATGGTTTTAGAAGCACATTGGCCAGCAGGCATGGGGGCTCTTCAGTCAGAGTCAGTACCTGCAACAACTCACAAGCTGGAGCTGCGAAAAAAAAAAACAAAACTGGGTTGCAAACCAGATGGAGGAGGAACACAGAGCAGGTCACATGCTGGTTGACAGGACTACTACAGAACACTGACCCCCCCTCCGCCAAGACATGCAAAACAAGTGCCACAATATCATAAATCACAACATTTAAATGTCTAATATACAGTGCTTTTTAAATGGTAACACATTACTGTGTATTAAAAGTTTACAATAGCCTTAGCAAGCAACTGGTATAAAACTCCACTGGCTATCTGGATTTGGGGTGACTGGGAGCACTGGAAGCTAAGGACTGTCCTTCTGGGTATCTGCATGGCAGTTCCGTTCCCTAGCAAGTCCCTCTCCTCCACCCTCAGAGGCCCTTCTCCACAGCAGAAGCATTGCTATGTCAAAAATTCAAAACATGCCCTTCAACATTTTTTTTGAGCCCTGCAGTACATCAAGAGCAAGGAGATGCCTTTGAGAAAAGACAGCCCCTCTTTGACCAGCAGCAGCTCATTCCTTCCCCAGTTCTCTCTCCCCTCCCCCTACCCCTCCTGTTTATTTTGCCCTATACATTCCTGGGCCCCAGGACCTCTGTGTAAACGCTGTCTTCCGTACCATGCTTGCTGGCAACTGCTGTTTAATCATACGGGGGCCGCAACCTTGGTATGCCACACCCAGCCCAATAACTGCTCCCTAAGGGTGCCAAGACCCCCCCCCCCCTTTTTGAGATAACCCTCCCCCCACCCCCTGAAAAACAAAAAGGGCTGTTACTGCCGTCTCTCAGACAGCCTGATGTGAGGGGGGAAAAAATCCCAGAAATCCAAAGAGTGGTTTCTGCAGATTGCTGTGATTGGGGCCCTTTCTGCAGCATAACCTCAGGGTTTGTCTGGGGTTGGGGACGGTGTGTGAGGAAACGGAAACGCAAGAACAAATCTCATCTGGCAGTATGGCATCTGGAAGACAAATGCCCAATGTCTACTGATTCTCCTAATAAATAATCAGTGATGGTTTCTGGAGATATCTTTTTCTAGAAACTCTTAATGCACCCGGTACAGCAGAGAAGAGAGAATTTTTATTTAAAAAAAGAAAAAGGAAAAAAATGGCAGATGGACACAATTCTTTCCTACATCAGTCAGCTGCAGGGTTCATCACGAGCCAGCCCAGAGAAGACAGACTGCCGTCTCAGCTACCTCTCTGGCTACTGTCCCGGAGAGACCTGCCCATTCGACGTAGGATGGGCAGGGCAGCAAACGTCAAACGTGGGCCAAGATCCACCACCCTGGCTGAATGCCTCCTGAAAGGGCAGCGGCCCAGGAGGCCAGGCACTGAGACTGGCCAAAACGCCAGCCAGCCGGTCACCTCCATGACCTGCATCTGATTCATGGATCACCTGACTGCCAGCAAGGATAGACGTATACAGCAATCAATTTCTACTGGCTGACTGCTCTCTCCCTGTCCTCACTCGGCTGCCACGATATTAAACAGGCTGCTTTTTTGGGACAGACATTGCCAAGCATCGAACTTTCAGATTCAGGTTTTCCGTTAGCAGATGCTAGCCTATTTTTTCCCCAAAATTTCCTGCAGCATAAACAAAATACACAGAACATCAGTAAAGCATAAAGGACCGCTGGACAACCGCCTGTCAGGAAAATACAGCCAGTGAAGTGCAGGAAAGACCGAGAACAACAGCTTCAGAAACTTCTTTTTTGCCCCCAAAGTAAAAAAAAAAATTAAGGATAAAGAAAGACAGCAAGGTATGGCAAAAATGTAGATCAAGTAAGAACGGGTTACAAGCGGAAGGAGATGCTATCTTCAGGAACTGAGTCACAGGCAGACGACCCAGCGACACAAGGGCAGGACATGACGTTGACATGCCGCGGTTGCTTCCAAGACGTCTGAAGATGCCGGGTAATCAACATCCACAATTCCACAATTCAGAGGGTTGGGGCGTGGAATCACTACTCAACATTTAAGAGGTTCACTGATGGGCCTGCTCCGCCTACGCCGACCACGAGAATCGACCTACACCGACAGGCAGCAGGAACTGGAATCGTGCCATCCTCTCAGGCCAGACACGGGTGCCAGAGAGAGAGAGAGGAAATGGAAAGACAAAGGCAAACAAGGGAGGCAGGGTGGGGTCCGGGAAAGCGAGAACGCATCCTGCACTGTCGTGAAACCACAAAATGAATTACAATAAAATTGGAAAGGGCATTTCCTTTTCCGCTACCCACAGTGTTGTGTTTGTCTTAATGAGGAGGCAAGGTAGAGACAAGCAGCCAGAAGAGGGCAGCTACAATTGGTGGGGGGGAGCATAGTGTGTCTGTTTTTAAATTTTAGTGTATGGGGGGACAGCTTCCTTAAGTCAAGGGGAAAACAGTCTCACCCCCAAGATGACGCCACATCCTAATCTGGTTTGAGGGCATATCTCCTTCAAAAAAAAAACCAGCAGCTCATGTCACAGATCTGGTGATCTTGGTTAGAGAACATGCCAACAATGCCCACTAGTAGGCGCAATAGCATCATGTACTACTGAAATAGCAACATTAGCAGTGTCACGTGCCAGCCCCGCATGCAGAACCAGAACATCACACACTTTGCTCTGATGCCGCAGATCTAGGCAGACCGAGTGGAACAGAAGTGCACTACTGACACGGTCAGTTGGGTCAAGTGCCAAGGCGGGCACCACGTCAAGGCTGACCTCTGCCAAATACTGTGGTTTAGAGCTGAAGCCTTTGAGTTTTCACCAGCTCATTCAGATTTTCTACAAAGCAATTCAGTTGGAAGAAACTCAATGCAATAATGACAAAATGGGATTACTAACACAAATTCCTGTGATAAGAGTGCTTTGTTTAGCCAGTCCAATTTATCATTAAGGGATTTTATCAGGGTATGCATTTAAACAATTAAGTGGTACAATTCCAGCTGAGCATCTCAGTCGGTTTCTGCTAAGAGAAGACACACTAGCTGTTTGAAAATATCCTTTGTTTTCCAGTTACAATATTTCTATAAGAGGGATGAACAGTGCCTGTGTCAGACTCCTTTTCAGAGGCCACATTTATCGATGGTGAGCATCACTAATTTATATAAAAAGTCCTAAATATATTTCTCCATCCATCCATCCATCCATCCATCCATCCATCCATCCAATCTACCACTGCAGTGTCTCTCCAACCCGGTCCTTGGGGACCCCAGTACACGTTTTTTTGTTCCCCCCCAGACATTACACATCCCTGAGGACTACGCTGGGAAACGCTACTCCACAGGTTCCTGGTAGAGTGGAGTTGAAACATATCTTAGGTAGCAAGGTTACACAATGGACAGGATGAAATATATTATTTAAAAAATAATCCAATCTTTCATCTCAAATTTATTCATAGCAACCAATTTTTGGATCATGTGCACCAAATATTTATAAGTAATCCAATTTCATGAAAAACACTCACATATAAATACTGGATTAATTCTAAATTCATTACAAATACAACCTATTTCCACAGCCTTCCTTATGGATTTTCCGTTGGTAAAATTTAGGTCCAGAATTTACCAACTCATTAACGAATATGAAATTAACCAAATCGTTCATCACTGCTCCATCGGCCAATATCACCCTCAGCTACCCCTCAGAAAGAGGACGAGTTTTAAAATATCATGCTGACCTCACGGCTATTAGTGTAGGAAGGCCATGACCAGCTACCACAGGAGATTTAGCGCACAGGCCAAGGACCTTAAGGACTTTACAGAGACATACCTGCGGGCACTTAAATGAAAATGCGATTTTGTTTCCTTCGTTTTATTG